TGACAAGTTCTACAATGACAAGTCATTATTTTTTATCACTTTTTTACATTTTTTTATGTTTTTTAAACATAAAAAAAATATTTTTATTATTTATTTTATTAAAAAATTATTCTACTTTTTTGTACATTTTTTTCATAAAAAATTTTAAAAAAATTTATTTAAAAAAAATAAAAAAAGAAGGATGGAGTGCCACACTCATGCCTCACAAAGCAATGCATTTTAGCCTTGCCATGCCATGATATGTGTGGAAGAAGCTGATGTGGCAGTGCATGACTTGCCTCTTCCTTGCCATTGCACATGCTCTTAATAATCAAAGCTCTGATACCTTGTAGCTGACTGTGTTTATTTTTTGAATTTAGTTTTTTTTTAAATATTTGAATATAAAAAGATATACTCAATATTAGTAAATTTAAAAATCACATCAAATTAAATTTATATAAAAAATACAATAATTGACATTGTTGGAGTCCCGCATCAAAAAATAAAGAATAATATCACTAGCATATATAAAAGGGTGAGACTCTACCTATCAACTTAACTTTTTGGGTTAGAAAGCGAATTCCAACTTTATATGCAAGTGGTTAATTGAACTCGACACTCGGCGGCCTGCCAAAATTTTGAAATGGTATCTATCAAGGAACCAACTCAACCAAAAGCTTGTAGTTGTGGCCCGTGAACAGTTATTTATATTCTCACATGCAGGCGTAGTCTTTTTCGAGCTTTGCACGTAAAACCTTAAATTTTTTTTAAACTGGGTGGCGCTGAATTTTGAACCCGTGACTAGGGGTGTTCAATCGGATCGATCCGATCCGATCCAAAAATTCGGATATCTGAAAATTTCGGATCATGCAAAACTCATTCCATATCCGATCCGAAAATATTCAGATATCCAAAATTCGGATATCCAATTTTTCAGACTGGATCACTGGATTATCCGAAAAGTTGAGTTTTTAGTCAAAATTTACAAAAAAAAGGTAAAATAGCAAAATCAACCCAAAATATCAAATTCAATATAGATTTACTAAAAGAAAAATTCCACCACTTGGTAATGGCCTAATAAAAAAATGATACCAAATTTAATTTGGGAGTAACTTTGGTAATTTTGCCTAAACAAGCAAAAAAACAAAAAATTCTAAAATGCTAATGCAAAAAGTCCAAAATGGGTGATTTCCAAAATCAACATAAAATTACATTTAAACATATAGTCATAATATATATCCATAAAATTCCAAAAACATATAGCAAAAAAAAATCGGATATCCGATTATCCGAAAATTCCAGAAATTTAATCCATATCCGATCCGATTTTTTTTGGGTATCCGATCCGAAATATCCGCAAGCTAAAATATCGGATCGGATATCCATTTTTCGGATCGGATCGGCCCGGATCGTGGACGGATATTTCGGATCGGATATTTTTGAACACCCCTACCCGCGACCTCTTAGTCAACGAGGCTCCGATACCATGTCAAGGAACCAACTCAACCAAAAGCTCAAGCTTGTGGTTGTGGCCTAGAGACGGTTATTTATATTCTAACAGTATCGGAGCTGGTCCGATCCGGGTTCGATTCTTTTCGGTTGTTTGACGTGGGTTTAGTAATATAAAATAAGCTACCCGTAAGTGGTTTGGCTTGAATTGGCTAAAAAGTTTGAGATACCACCACTCGTTGTGTGGGCTAGCTAAAAACTCCGTACCTATTTGTCTAAGTAATTAATTTTACCCGATACTTTATTCGTCGTTCTCGATCCGTCAGAATTTTAAGAGACATGCATGATTATATTATATAGGTATAATAAGAATGTGGTGTGGAACGATAATGAAGTTAAGCATAACCTTCTCAAAGCTCGTATCATCACACGCATATATTCACCTATGGTATGTATAATGTATCTGCGCACATACAAATCTCGAATCCCGTTCATTCATTTCGTTCTCTCGATTAAACAATGACTCTAATTAATACTACCTCCGTTTCTCAAAACAATTCCCCTTTTGACTTTAGGAAAGAATAAGGAAGTGTTAAATTGTAGTTGACTTTCCAATTTTGCCCTTGATGTGATGGGTAAAAGTAAGATGTGATGGTTTAGTTGTTAGTGAAAAAGTATGATGTGATAGGTAGGGTATGAAAAAGTAGAGGTAAAAGTGGTTTTTTAATATAAAAGGGAAGTGTTTTAAGAAAAACAAAAAAAATGAAAGAGGAAGGGTTTTAAGAAACGGAGGGAGTATATACTTTTATTTCTCTGTCTTAAACAAATGATACTAATTAATACTCCATCCATCTAAAAACTTTTTCCCCCTTTCTTTTTGTTTGTCCCACAAATTCTTTTTTTTTTTCTATTAAAAATTATTTTCATCCGTATTAATTTTTAATCTACCTATCACATCATCTTTTTTATTAATAATCTATCCATCACATCATACTTTTTACCTATCACATCAAAGATATTTTTGAAAAGTCAGTACAATAATATCTTGAGAAATGCTAGATTCATAAACCAAATTGGTACAAAATTTACAAATTTACTATTTGTTGACTTCAATAAAAGAAATTAAATAATCTAAAATAATTTTAAAATAGAATTTTAAGTTATACTCCGTAAATGACAAGTTTGTGAAGTTTGTGATGCTTCTGTTTGTGAATATAAGATTGCTCTAATATTTTTATGGGAGGAGGAAAGTATGTGCATGTATATATTGTTTATAATATTGTATATTTTTTTTATATTGTGGCATGAAGGTTATAATTAAGGAGTTGAAAGAATCTGGGGTTTTCAGTTCAGTCATTGCAAATGCTGGCTTGGACTAATTAAACAAGGCATGTTGGAGAAGTGCAGTGGCACAGGACCCACAATACAATACTGCAGGGCTATTCTGTATGTTGGTGTACCATTGAAGAAATTGAGAGAATATTGAATAGGATTATGCTATTTGTACACCAAAATTTGTACTTCATTTTGTGTTCTAAAGCCATGCATCAACATGTTGTGCTAGTGTGATGGTTTACATTGACAAAAAATGTTAGTACAAACTTTAAAATTGAACTAACATTTTGTACCTATGTGAACTGTTAAAATGTCGAAGCATTTCTTTTTCCGTAAAAAACCGTTGAAACACATTTTTTTATGTAAAGTTGTGTTGTTGCATCAAGAGACGTGTTTGATCAGTTGGTGATACACACACACACACACACATGGAGTCCCAGGTATGTTTGAAATGCGACCGAACTTTCATACTCGTTGTAGATACTAATATTTTATCTGATTGAAATATTTTAGTTTAGGCCAAAATAACTTTAATCTGAAAGTAATGATGTGATTTGTTTAGTCTATCTAGTTTCTTCACGTTCATTCTTATATCATTCTTTATAACGCTTCTACACAACATTATCAACACTCTCAGATTTCTAGCACAGAATAGAAAAAATATTTATAGAATGTTAATTCACAATGTCACATTGTCATAACGCAATAATGATTTTTTGATATAAAAAACATGTCGCACCTATAATGGGGATAAGAGCTACTCCCTCCGCTGACATAGATTTTTCCCAAATGTCAATTTTATTTGCTTAGGAGAAATGTTCCCTTTATCTTTTTTAACATTAAAAATACCATAATTACCTTCACTACCTTATTTATTAAACTATACCTACCTAAGTTAATATACTTCACCCACTTTAATAAATAAAAAGCTAATTTGGAAATTTATCTATGGTGTACAGAGATTATGTTTATGAGTATAAACTATTTTGCATTTCTCTTCGAATGATTTCCTAGGGATAGGTGCGGGTCGGATCGGGTCTATTTTCATAGGTCCTGACACCGACTTGTTTTTAAGATGAAAGGGGTGGGATAAGCCAAAATCTTGAAAAGTATTTGGAACATGCCCTAGTCTGACTTGTTTTAAACGGTTTGGTTCAACGAGTCTACTATGACCCCATGATTTTTTAATATTAAATCATGAATCTAAAATAGTTCGCAAATAAGTGACTAACTTAGCGTAAAAAAACGACCAACTTATATGAGAATAGAATAATTCATATTGTGAAAATAATGCATAATTTGTATAAACTAAATAATACTCCGTAATACTTTTGAAAGATAAATTTCAATATCTAACCACTAAATTTTTTTTACGAATTAGCTTTGCAAAATGTGTACAAGAAAAAGTATGATTGACTTTAATTTAATATATATATATATATATATATATATATATATATATATATAATTGTATTAATGTAATATTGATTATTGAATATATTATATAGAATATATTATGGTACATACGAAAACGTATACTATTTATTACCCCATATATTTATGAGCCCGTTTCCATGGCCACTGGATTCCAGTGGCCATGGAAGCTACTGCCCCCATACGGAGCTCTTTTCATAAAATTGATGATTCCTACCCCTCTAACCCCCCGCTAAGTCCCGACCCAAACTAATCACCTCACCTACGTCAATTGCATCTCGTAAGTACAATTGACTTTAAAGTTAAAAGTTTTGACTTTATACTTACGAGGTGCANGGGGGGGGGGGGGGGGGGGGGGGGGTTACCATGGGGTTAAGGGGGGTAAGAATCATCAATTTTATAAATAGAGCTCCGTATGGGGACAGTGGCTTCCGTGGCCACTGGAATCCAGTGGCCATGGAACCGGACTATTTATAACTTTATTACGTAGTACTCCCTCCGTCCCATTAAACATGAGATGTTTTGCTTTTTGAAGAGATTTAAGGGAGTGTATTTTGGTATTGAATTTCCAAAAATGTCCTTTGATGTGATGAGTAAAAGTAAGATTTGATGGGTAGATTATTAGTAAAAAGGTATGATGTGATAGGTAGGGTATGAAAAAGTAAGGGGTAAAAGTGATTTTTTAATAGAAATGAGAAGTGTTTTATGGGATAGAAAAAAGAAGAAAGGAAAAAGGTTTTATGACGGGCCAGGTCCATATTTTATACGGAGTATATAAAGATTTGGAACCAGTTCTACTGGTTTTCCTAAAAGACCCGCTCCAGACCGGATCGATTTGAAAAACAACAAAGTTTTGGACCCGCTCTGAACTCTCTCCGAACAGTACCATTCGATTCAGGCCAATTTAGAAGTTCCATCTCCGCCAAGCAGCAAAGCTCAGCGCCACAAACAATGGCGAACGACGCCGACATGAGTAGCTGGAGTGAGCTTCTCCACACTTCTTCGAAGCTCATCGAACAAACCGCCCCTTCTACTCTCTTCCCTCCTCTGCAGGTTCTATATCCCCCCCCGCGTTTCTGAAAGTTTCCCCTAATCAATTTGTTAATGAACTCTGTATATATGTCGAACGCTTGGCTCGTATTCACTGTGCTATGGTTTCTCGTTTGAAATGCAGAGGAATTTGGATCAAGTGGAGGCGTTGTCCAAAAAATTGAAGGCTAAAACCCTAAGAGGGGAGACTCCCTACCAATCACTTGCTGCGACTAGGTAATTTTTTTTGTGTATACTACTATTATTTATGAAGGTAGGTATGTACAACTTGTATCAATATTCCATTTTCAAAAAATGTGGTAGTTCTTCAAAGAGAAAATGTTGTAGCTAATGATGATTCCCATTAGCCTGTCTTGTACAGACTACGGAGTACATATTATGCCAGGATAACTCTGATTCTTGTACGGGAAATTGGACCAAAACACGATATGAGCGTTTGGGCAAAATAAAGCAAACTATGAAATTGGCCAAAATATAATCATCTATTGCTTCTATTGGCCAAAAGCAATATAAATGTCGTCAGAGTATGCTGGAATACACTAATCCTTATAAATACCTTGAAGTGTTTTTGTCTAATTTCTTGTTCCTGGTAGTTCTTTTGTCCAATATCACCATCTACGAAAGTATGTATGTATGTCTCATGGGTTCATTTTTTATTCATCTTCTTCACCACTGTGAAATTTCACAAATAATAAAATATTGTATTGCCATAGATTCCTGATATGTGAAAGTAGTTTGTCACAAATTTGAATTTAGTTTGTGAGTACTCTGTGTAGTACTCTGTATTACTGATATGTGAAAGTAGTTTGTCACAAATTTGAATTTAGTTTGTGATTTATCAAATCCTTACACACCTGTGTAGTACTCTGTATTACTTTTGGTAAAAAAACTATTTTTCCACACATCGGTGATCCATGAAAATATTTGTGTCATAGTTCCAAAATTGATTTGTGAATTTGAAAATTCGTTGAATCCAAATTCGGTATTAAAAATATTTCCAAGGTCCGCAGAACAAAAGTTCACATAAAACGGACATGTGCTATATCAATTTTTTATTATTGGTAAAATTTAACAGTGATGAAAATGATTAAGAGTCAAGTATATTGATATGGGAGACGTTCTTTGTGGGGTGAGATTAGACAAAACAATACCAACCACAAAAATTTGGACAAATACGCCCTATTATATTTGTACATGGAGGTATTAATAGGATTTTCGTATTTCGACGTACTCCGGTGACAATTACTGGTGTATATTCTTTTTGATCAATGGTTGTATTTTGGCCAATTTCATAGTTCATAGTGTTTTATCATACTTCATAGTGTTTTTTGTCCGATTTCCCTTTTATTTGGTATCATGTTTTACAAATTTGTATTTATGTATCACATACGGGTAGATGGCCTGGTGAATCAAACTAAGACCGCAGGAATTGCACATGAGATTTCATTTGATTATTCGTCTCTACTTTCATTTGCAGGTTACTGGCTCGTGAGGGAATAAATGCTGAGCAGCTTGCTAATGATCTTAAGTCATTCGAGTTAAAGGCATGTCCTTCTAATATTCCTCCAAACTTTTGTATCTGTCCCAACTCCCAAGATGAGCGATGTAGCATAGTGAATTTTATTCCATAGTTTTGTATCCATCCTAATATATTTTTTCTGAGTTCTGATGCAATCATGAGAAAATATGATAGTTGCCCCACCTCACTTGCATTTTCATATCCATTAAAATTGTTCGCAATGAGTAAAAGTTCCATAAAAGAAGGAAGAGGCTGTGTTTGCGATTTCATGTCAGTTGGCAACATATTGTGAACGAATTATCTAGTGGGTAGTTTACATTCTTTACTTCCAACTCTTTAAACAACATTTGCAATTGCCCCTGTTCATCCTTGTATATCTTATATTGTTCATGTAGAAATGTCAATCATTAAACATAGGTTGATCATAAAATGTCGGGTGATGTGAAGGTCTTGGATTCTCCTCACAACTTGGTTATATGATCCTATATTTCGCATTCAGTCTCCCTCACACATTCTCTTTTATTTTGCCAGACCACATTTGAAGATGTTTTCCCTATTGAGGCAACTACTGTTGAAGAGTACCTGCAACAGGTAGTTTATGTTTTTTTTTGTTGTGCAACTTAAGTGATTCTAGTAAGCCTTTGTGAGTGTTTTGATATTCCATGGCCATCAATATTATTCCCTCCGTCTCAAAATGAACTTTACACATTGACTTCATAAAGTTTAAGAAAAGTGTTGAAAAGTGAAAGAGGTTTGGTTAAGAGTGAAAGGTGTTGAAATTTATTTAAAATAGAAAAATGGTAAGAGCCACATATTCATTTCGTATAAGGGAAAATGGAAAAGTTTAAACTTCATTTGGGACATCCAAAAAAAGAAAGTGTAAACTTCATTATGGAAGACTGGATGGGTAGTCAGCGGAAATTTGTTAATGAGATTGAGCAAGTCTTGATATTTCTCACAAAAAGGAAGAATTATGATATCTATTGTTCTTGTTAGTAGCTGGTCTAGATATCACACCCGTCTGTATATCAAGGCATGGCAACTCAATATTTGGATTCCATGTATGTGTTTCACTATTCGAAGCTAATGGTCCAGCTTTTGTGATATAATGCTAGTTATAGGCTACTAGGCTCTTGCCAAACAGTTAAAACAAAATGGAACTTCTTACCACTGATTGTGTACATGAGTATGTGCTTGTTATCCTCACAGAAATATTGAAATTTAATTCCAAAACGCATAAACTGGAACATCACTAAAAAGAGTTTTTGCAGGTAGATCATATACAAAGTAGTTCCCTTGTAGAAGCTCGGCGTATTTAAAACCTTTCCTCTCTGTCTAGATCAAAATAGGGCCGCAACAACCACCACACATATTTTGGTTTTATTTTTTGATGTTTGTACAGTTTGTACATGCCTTAACTCCTTATCCTATTTTCTAGATTTCTATCATTACTATAGCTAGCTTAAACTGTTGAATGGCTTTGACTTTTTAGTATTTGGGTTACTGTGTTAGATCCATGAAATGGCAATGGTCTCAGCTGTTCAAGAAGCTCAGAAGGATAACCTTAAAAACTTCAATGACTACATGATGTCAGTCTTAGAGGTATGTGAGCTTGAAGGAATCCATCGATGATGTCTATCTGTATCAGGGTTTATTCATTTCGGCAACAAAAATCGCTCATTTACGTGAAGTTGTGCGAAGCATTGTCCCACATGCTTATTATCATACTCCGTATATTTTATTGCTCTCAATGATGATTTCTAACCTCATCTTATTTCTCCTTCATGCCGTGTTCTTAACATGGAATAAACTTCCTAGGAGGATTGGCAGAAGGAAAAGAGAAACTTCCTTCAGAGCTTGAACCGGATGTCAACATTGCCGAGAGCAAATATCAGTGAATCAAGCCCTGGAAATGCTCGCCAGCGCCAACTAGTGTCGTTGAACTACAGCCCTCAGGTGTCTTCTGGTCCCACTAGCATGGAGCTAGCACCTTTGGCTGATAAGTCCATCATTGAGAAAAAAGCTAATGTGTACAGAGAAGTCGTTAAAAACCTAAACACTGCAAGAGAGCGTGGGCTACCCTTTAAAGTATGGTTTTCTTCTACCTTTTTTTCATGCATCATTTTTTTTTGATTTTGTAGTGTTTATCTACTTTATTATCTCAATGGAAGTTACATTGCCTTATGAATCTAGGTTTACTAGCAATGTAATCCAATAGTGAATTGAAACATCAAAGCACGATGCAAGTAGCCATTTAGTTGTGCTTGCCTTTTGCATGTATTTCTGTTATTTTTCTTCCCTCATAGACTTGTTATTTTGATTTTGCTAGAGACACGTATTCAATGACTGCTTACTAGGTTTGTGAAATGTGATTTAATAATATTATTTCTCTTTTATGCTGGTAGCCTGCCACGGCTTTTAAACATGCATATGAAAGCTTGGGCCTTGATACATCTGGAGGGAAGTCAGTAAGCATGCAGAAGATATGGCATCTTGTTCTGGTATCCAAACCTTGATGAAATCTCTACTATTATTAGAAATTAATTTCTGTCATTTATTTTTTGTCTTTTTGTTATATGTAGCATGTAATCATTTCATATAGAGCTATATATAATGAGAGAATACATATGCTTTATGGTTCTGATAAATGTAAATATTGTACAGGCTTTGATGGGCGAAGATGCTACTAAACGTAATGTTTCGAGAAAAATATCCTTGGTGATGGGAGCCAGACGCCACCTTGAATACGGACATGAAAAATATATATTAGATACAATTCAAAGCCATCCTGTGCAGGTAATAAAGCTTAATGTGGGGGGTTTGTTATGTCCTTAGTTACTATAGTTGTATTGGTCTTAGAATTTTTTTCTTTTATTCTGGGGCTCTTGTAATAATCTTAAGTTCTTAATAAGGGTTTATACTTGGTTTTTTGGAGTTATACCACTACGGTTGGAGTTTTAATCTCACATGTCGTCAGCAAGGCCAGGCGTGCCTCCTCTGCCAAGTTGAGAAGGCTCGGCTATTCTCCTTCCACCATTGCCTCTTATTCTTCAAGCTGTTGTTCTTCTCTTCCGACGTCATGTTAGAGGCCTTGTACACTAGCCTGCTTGAGCATTCTTATCAAAATCATGTTCTTGTATTTTACTTGCTCCGCATTTTTTGTTAGCAGCTTTTTCCGAATCTCAGCCAATCAGCCATTGCTATTAAATTGTTTCTTTTTTTCCATTTCACGATTTTTTTAGTTCTAGACCACATTTTCTTGAATTGGAAGTTTTCTGCTTTGATCTCTTCACCTTTGCCTTTGAAGCTATTCTTACAAATTACAAAGTATGAATAAATAATGATGGTTTCTGCATTGAATGCAGGCTGCTCTTGGTGGTGCTGTTGGTAATTTGCAGCGAATTCATGCCTTTCTCAGGGTTTGCTAGCATCTTTTTGTACAGCCATTAGCAATGCTCAAGTTGCATCTAGGATCCGTGTACCGAGATTTTTTATTTGTCAAAAAGAAAACATCTGTATTTGTTTGGTTAATTTTTATGTTCTGTGCAGATACGGTTAAGAGATTATGGAGTTCTCGATTTTGATGCCACAGATGCTTTTAGGCAGCCTCCTGTTGATACCACATGGCAGCAGGTTCGTAACATATTTGTTATAAATGTGGTATGCCCATGCACTAGAGCGAATCCCAAATTTGGTATCCCCCTTTCAGTTCCTATCTACTAGTTATGGTGTAATTAAGCTGTGAGTTTTCACAATGACCTTTCTGTAACCATCTTATTTGTATGTTTCTATATGACACTTATTTTTCTTTAGCACACTGGAATTAACTTTCTTCATGAACGAAACTTTCAAAATTGAGTTCATATCACAAGTCTCCTTGAGAATGGGTATTGTTGGCTTAAAATGTAACCTAATCATATTCTGCACTACTATGTTGCAGCTCCAGTAGTTTGCTTCTATATTTATGAATGACTCTATTTCCTGATTCAATTAAGAAAATTATTGTGGCTATTGTATTTCAGTCTATGATGCACAAAAACTCTTGGAAGGTAGTGTTTCACATTTTTGATGGGTAAATTTCACAAATGGTACTTGAACTTTAGCTGGAATTTCGAAGTAGTATCTGAACTTCAAATCCTTTCACAAAAATCCCTGAACTTACACAATCCTTTCACTAATGAGCCATTAGCCCGTTTCTAGGTTAACTTCCGGTCATTAGGGCCAAATTCGAATTTTATATATTTTAAAATTTTCAATTTGACCCCATTTCTTCTTTTCTTTTCTTCCACGCCCCGCCGCCGCCGCCCGCCGGTCAAAGTCGCCGGAAAAT